CTTGAACTTGAAGCCTGAAACTTGTGGAGAAATTTGCAGCGTTTGATCCACGAGCTCTTTCTTGCTTCTTGTTATAACTTCTGGTATCTTCTCTGAGTTATGAAGACCCCTATTTATAGTTGTGGAAGGGAGGAGTTATGATAAGAACAAACTCTTTCCGACCAATCAAATTAAATTGTGACATGGCTGCATTTGATTGGCCAGAACATGTCACTTGCACATGTGGCGCGATTTCATTGGCCTTTTAGCGTGACTGGACATACCTTGTCATTTTGACATGTGACATGGTCCTATTGGCTCTTTCGCTTTACTTGGCGCGCTACGTCATTTGACACGTGGCACCAAACCNTCCACTTTTGCTTTCTTCAAATGCCTAACTGGATTCTTTTTCGTTGGTCTTTTTACCATCATCTTCCTTGTTGGTTGTTCTATTGATTCCTTTCGTGGGCTCTTTTTGTGGTGCCTATGATGAGTCACCAATGTCCAACCTTCATCGTTNCTTCTTGTTATAACTTCTGGTATCTTCTCTGAGTTATGAAGACCCCTATTTATAGTTGTGGAAGGGAGGAGTTATGATAAGAACAAACTCTTTCCGACCAATCAAATTAAATTGTGACATGGCTGCATTTGATTGGCCAGAACATGTCACTTGCACATGTGGCGCGATTTCATTGGCCTTTTAGCGTGACTGGACATACCTTGTCATTTTGACATGTGACATGGTCCTATTGGCTCTTTCGCTTTACTTGGCGCGCTACGTCATTTGACACGTGGCACCAAACCAGGCCTCTAGGAAGATGACATCTTGGGCTTAATGAAGTGGGCTCATCACTTTAGCCCAATTAAATGGGCTAGCCCAATGGATTAAGACTTATTTATTTAATCCATATATATTGGACTTATATAATTAATTCAATTATATTAGCCCATATATTTATTTGGACCAATATATCTTGAATTTAAAATATAGTCCAAAATTATTTTATGAATTTAATTTTAATAAAATTTATATGCCTACAGAATCAATAAACAATTTTATTTAGTATAAAATTTCTTCAGTACTAGACAATCAATTTTGTTGACTTGGTAGGCTACATTCAAGATGTACCAAAAGTATTTGACCCAACGAATTTGTAGTTTAATTTAAATCGAAAAAGAGTTTCAGCCTTAGGTGATTTATGATTATATCCTTAAATTATATAAATATTTAAGCGTATAAAAGTCGATCAATATTTGAGGGATATTTTAGTCGTATAACATTTAGCATATATTATTCGTGCTTTTATAATAATATAGATAGATATATGGCGATGTTTGATTGGACATCAAATTTTAAAAATAAGTAAACACTTCTACTTATAATCTTAAATATAATATGATAATTTTGCGAGTTTAAAAGTTTGTCATTCAAGATAAAATATAAAGTTTTAAGTTATTAATTTTAGATATAGAGATGTAATATTTTTTTTGAAAAACATAAGAAAAAGAAAATAGTGATACATAAAATAGAATGTAGATATTCATTTTTGTAAGAAGAAAAAACATCTCAACATATAGGTTTAAATCCGAAAATTCAAATCGATTAATCTGAAATTGAACTTAAAAAGTTTGATTCAATCCGAGCTTATTTGGATTGGATTTGGATTATCATTTCTTCAATCCGAAAATCGAAAAATCCAAACTGAAATTCTCATATCCAATACGAATTGCCCGAACACAAAAGTACATTTCTTTTAAATCCTATTTTTTTCTCTTCTGTTAATTTTCTTCTTAATCCATTTTTTTTAAATGAGATTGATCATATTAGATATTGGCAAAGATTCCCCGACCATTTCCATTAACGTTTATGTTTGTTGTGTGACTTACTCTTATGGGGAAAAGTTCAATTAGTTTAATATGAAACAAAATAATTTCGCCACTTCACTATTATAGAATATAAAGTTCAACAATTATACATGAAATTAATTCAAAAATCCTCATTTTAACTTTGCGGGTAACATGATACACAAGCAATCGATAATAAATAATTTTGGACCCCTTACACTGCTACGTGTAATTACCCAAAACTATATTTCTCTTATTTTATTGATTTTAATTTCGTTTCAGATGCAGGTGAGTGTGGATCGTTTTTGAGACCTCTACTATCCAAAACACGCTAAAATTTAGAGCGGTTGGCCGTTTGAGTTACTTAGCGTGCGAATGTAGAGAGGCAATAACAAATGAAATGAAGGAAAAGCAACAAATCTGGCTTTTCTTGAACCCCCATTAACCATATTTTCCAATTGATGAAAAACTTAAAATACTACACTTTTGACAATCCCAAGAACAACAAACTTGTTGCATAGGCATAAATATAAAATAAAAACCCAAGCCAAAAGCTACAATTAACCAAAAAGAAAAAAGTAAAACACCAACAAAACACATGTCCCTTTACCTTACCCTTCCATATAGTAGAAAGTTTTATAAGCTACCAAGTGATTGGTGCATAGAAGGAGTTCCTCTATGAACATTTTTTCTACTAATTTTCAATGACCAGGCCTGAAATCAATATGATCATCAGCAAATCTAACTCCTCCTTTACCTCCAGTATTCTTAAAAGGCTTAGACCCTTTATAATGATCTCCATGTGCTGCAGCAACTTTAGAACTTGCAATTCTCTTATCAAATCCAAATTCTATATCCCCTTGACCTCTTTGATGAAACTCATTATGCTTCTGGTTTCCCTCTTTTTGTTTTTGTGGATGACCATTGCTTTTCTTCACCTTAGAACCATGGCTTTTCTTGCTGCAGAGACGTCCAACGACACAAGCAATGAGAGATATGACCAAAACTATAGCCAGGACAACGAAAACACTGACAAATGAACCATTTGACTGAGAAGAGGAAGAAGAAGAAGATTGAGTTGGGATATTGTTTGCCTGATTAGGGAAATTGTTTGGATTATTAGGATAAACTTGAACTGGTTGTTGTGGTTCCAACTGAGACATTTTCTTGGAATTTTGGTTTAGACAAGTTAGGGTAAGTAGAACAGACGCCAACAGAAACTGAAGAGTAACAACAACAAGCGATTGAGTTCAGCAGTTTGACTAATGGTATGAACTTATTTTTGGACTAAAATCTAAGGTTGTGTTCTTTGAGTGAAACCAAAGGAATGTCTTTGAGAAGTATGGGAGAACAAACATTAGCTAAGACAATACATGTAGGAATATTTCATTTTATAAAGCGTGATTCTTGATTTTGGTGTGATAGGGTTCTAGGCTAATATCTCTAAGGTGTTTGAGTGAAACAAGAGAAGACTTAGGAGAAGAAATGGAAAAATAAGCAATTATCAAGAATCATACATGTGGGGTTATTGTACTCCATTAGGTTAGATATATTCTTGGTTTGGTTTGAGGGGGGTTTTGAATTCAAAAAAGGGATGCTTTTTCTTTAATAAAGAGAGACAACTAAAGATATTCTTGATGTCCTTTACTGCAGGAAGGAAGGGTATTTTAATTTTGTTTGCTTTGTTAAGAGAGAAAGTAAGATTTTGGCTTTCCTAACTTTGAATACTTCACTAATCTGTTGAATTTCACAAGACCCCATGAAAGTCTCTTATTCCAACATGGCTCAGCTCCTTTCACTTTACTGTCTTACTACTCTGTATTATGTCTATAATGCAGCAGAGACTGTTATGTCAGTTTAGTCAGTACAGAATTTACATGCCTGAATTTGTCTAGATCATTTGTGGTACTTTTACAATAATGCTTAGTTGATTGGCATATTAATCACGAGATTATAAACTTCTAATGATTTGGATTCTTTCCAAACATCATGAAAACGGATTCAGGATATATGAATTTTATGAATTTGGGATGCCATTGACCCTGTTGACCGTTTGAGTTACTACATTCAAAATTTAATGTGTAAACATGTAGTGTATTTCTTAACACGTATGTAAGACATATATATGAGCCAAAGCTAGTTAATTCAACAAAACTCATACCTTATACTCTGCATTCGCCCCTGCATGAAATAATCATGCATAACAGTTGATTGACTAAGTGATACACATATATATTCTTCTTGTTTGATGCAACTAATGGAATCAACTTAACAAATGTACTCTGAACATTACAAAAATTGAGCAAAAAGAAGATTAAAGAGTATGAGTTATTATGATTTGGTGTCACAAGTATTCACTCCATCCCACATTTTTTCACCACATCTCACTATTTTGGATGTCTGAAGATATTGCCCGTATTCAATGATGAATGTACATCAATCTTCGACTTTTCAACAGTGTTCTCAGCATACAATTGTAGGATCATTGTCACCTTTTCTGAAAGGTTAAACACACGGTAGATCATGTCCCTTAGAACTTTTGACTTTTCAAACTTGGAAAAAATAGATTTTAAGTTATATATTTTCATGATGTAAAGAATTTTTCATATTATTGTTGTATTTTTCACAAAATCATACTAGGCTTAATCTGTAGAGTTACATGTAGATCAACTCAATCCGATAGAAAGAAAAAAAAAATTACTGTCCGAACTTAAAATATAAACCCAAAATAATAGTGCGGAGGAAACAATGATTTGGAGAATAACTTATTGGGAAAAAGCAAATTGAAATCTAATTGGGATTTGGATTGAAAATAAGAGAATGATTATTTTTTCTCGCTAATGGAGTAGAACAAGTTGCTGAAATCGAGGAGGATATGTGAAATGGCCTTTAATTATCGCCGTATAATGTTGTGATCTAATCTTCAATCATGATAATTTTGGGCATAAAAGTGAAGGTGGTCATATTGTTTTAAGCATTGGTGGGATAAAAAGGAGAAAATAATCATTATGTGAAATGTGGAAAAGTAGGTATGAATCCACCAACAAAAATAAAGTGTCAAAGAAGAGTTTTCCGATGCAAAAATAATGGAGAAAAATATATAGTTAGTGATGGGAGTAATTTGGGACACACTTTGTTTTGATTCGTTTCTTTATTCCTTGGCTTTTGGGAAAGTAAATGTAGGATATGATTTTGCTTGAGTTGGGGGTAGGGTTCTTTTGTCTTCCAATGATTAGACCATTAATATGCTTATTGTAATCACATTACACTTCATTAAACCTTTTATTCACCTTGGTTATTTTCGGAAGGATTTGCAACATTCTCGTTTTAATTACTTCTAAATAGGACTGGACGTCCAGTCTAGCAGGTTGAGCCTGATTGAGTTCACTATAATATCAAGTTGAGTTGAGTCCAAGCTAAGTTCAACTAAAGTTGCTATAATATCGAGTCGAATCGAGCCTAATATAATCGAGCTCGAGCTGAGCTAGAGACGATTTTACCAAGCTTACTTCTACAGGATTGGAACCTCCAATCTACTAATACGGAGCATAGGTATTCTATCAACTAAATAAACCTTCAATAAATTTGGAGATCCAATCCAACAGGCGCTAAAGAAATAAAGGAAAAAGGAAGCAGGCGGCAGAAAGAAGGAAAGGAGAAAGAAATTGAAGACTAAAACAATTATGCAGCCTCATGGCCCTCTTTTTTACTCTTACACTCTGCTTTCATTCCTTTTAAGGAGAGGGTTTTTGATGAGCTCTTTTTTGAAAAAATAATATGCCATACATAATTGATGTTTACTGGGATTAATATTTTCCGAATCTTCTTTACAAACTGAAGACGTTCGTTTGGAAAATAAAAGAAATATATACAGATAGAGAGTTAATATTTGATTGGTCAATAAATATTTGTCAAAAGTTTCTTACTCTTGTAATGAACCAAATAAATGACCCTAGTCATGAGATTTTACTGTTATTGACAATAGTTGATGGGATTTGGAATGGAGGAGTCTATACTCTATACACAAACCTAAACTCAAAATAACCGGAGGGGGACACTGTACTCCCCCCCCCACACACACACACCAGAAAATAAGTATTAGGAGTACTTAACTATCTTTTAAATATATTCCAGTTATAAAATTATATACAATATCCTACAAGTAATGATACAGTAGTTCGTTTGAATCCATAATTTTAACTTAAATCTGAATTTATCAGAATAAAATCTGTTGAAATTACTAAAAATACTTAACTATGAACCCAGAATTGGAACCTGAGTTTTTGAACTCATAAAATTAAAACTTTGAGTTCACCACTTCAACTCCAATTACATTGTGACATTGTGCATCTAATAACCCTCGTAGAGCGTAGCAGATTTAGAGCCCGCTTTAGCAAATTGCCAAAAATTGTTTATTTTAAAGAGTATTTTTTTTAGAAGTGCTTTATCCAAAAGTACTTTTGTAAAAAAATAATTTATGTTTGACCAATTAATTTAAGAAGTACCTTTTGCAACATTTGGTAAACAAATGATGTTTGGCCGATCTTTCTAAAAAGTACTTTTGAGTGTCAAATTACCAAAAAGGATAGTACCAAGATCTTATAATTATTTTTAAGAGAAAAAATGAGCTTAAATATTTACCTTAAGTGACTTTTATTATTTTTTATTTTATTTAATTAAAATATAAAACATAAAATAAATATACGTATTAAAGATTTAAATCGATATGACATATATAGTTATACCAAAACATATAATATTATTTAGTATAATCACTTATTGTTTACATGTTGAGTGAATAATCAAAATACATCATTCAATATGAACTAGAAGTCTATTCCACAAATTACTATATATTAACATGAAATAATAAGCAAAGTCACTCACACATGATAATATTTCTCAATAATTTCATCTCTTATTCTATCATAGAACGCCTCCGTATTAGTAGAAGACTTGTCTTGCATTTCAAAAGGAATACCAAAAAGCCCGTCCCCTTTCTCAATCTCTACAGTAATGTCTTTATTAGCATAATAGTTGAATTACTTATATGTAGAAGAATGCCGACAAATAAAATTTTATAGAGGTATGGTAGTTGTAACAAGATGATCTGAGTGTCAAACTTGAAAGATGGCATTGAGCGTAAAATAGAATTTTTTTTAAATATATAAAAAATTATTATTTTCGTAAAATAAGTATGTTTAAATTCAAATTTAAAAAGAGTAACTAATATTAACAACAAATTATAATCTATTTTTTTTAAAAATTTAAACTCAAAGAGAAACTAATTATTATCTAACGTAACTAACTTTGTCCTAAATTGCCAAGTGGCCTATTGTGAGGATGCCACTTGGTTTAATGTGGAGGCCTTTTCTTCTTCTTTTAATAAATAAAATATAGATTAATTATAAATATATTACCTATTTGTAGGTAATTTTAACAAATTAGATTAAATAATTGTTTTAAAGATTCAGGAATTAATAGCCTATAAGAAGAAGAAATTATAAATGATTATTTGTACGAAGAGAATTGATAATCCAAAAGAAGGATGTAGATAATTTGCTTTAGTATGGAAAAAGAAGAAAATAATTTGGAAAGTTGCATGACATTACGTAAAGAAAAAAAAAACAAGAAAAGTCAATAAAGAATTTGGAAAGTTACAATATGATTCATGTATATGATATCTTTAAATTTAAAAGAATGGTAAAAATTAGAAATAAAAAATGAAAAAATTGCTACTAGTTTATTGAAATTCCCAAACAGTACTGTATTTTGAGATTTTTTGTGTACTATTCTGTAGAGCTTCGTATTTTCGTGTTTTGGGATTTGTGAATGTTGTATTACCATATTGGCTATGTTTTGGGTTATTTTTCAGTTTTATTTAATATTAGGTTGTTATAATCTGTCTGATATTGTTGTGTAATAGGCTTATCTAATCTTAGAAACTAGATGTCATCACGGTCCTTAAGATAGAATTTGGGGCGTGACAGTTTGGCAAGATCACACATCAAGGAAGAGTTAGAGTTTTGGGTTTGAAAGGTAAATTCCTTATTACAGAATAATTTATTGCTAGTGATTGATCAAATTGTATTGTATGAGTGTTTCCATCATAAGCTTAGAAAGTATTTTCATGATGTTATACGCTTAAATTCATTATTGATAG